AATGCTAATATGTTCTATTTAACTTCATATGTGTATACATTTCTAATAGTTAGCTTAGGAGGATCCTAATGGTTTTGTAATTTATTTATGCCATGATTGGAAAAAAATTCTTGCTCGTGTTTAGTTTTACCAGATATTGCATCTTTCCTTTGGAAAAGTTTGAAAAAATCGCCCTTTTCTTATCATATTCATGATTTTTCTACTTACTGAAGTATCTTCACAACCCATTTTTTGAACATTTATAGATTTTGAAATAATTATGTTCTGCTAACAGTAGAGGAAGCCGATACAAATTATGTTACATGAGTTATTTTTTGATGTCATTCAACCCACTATCCTTGAAGTTCGGACTGCAGATTGTATCATAAATTGTTAAAAATGACTTGTGGGTTTTATGGTTATTCGAAAAATATCTTTCCTGTACCAGGGAAGGGAAGAGAAATGTCAAATAATTATTAAATTTCTAGATTACCTGCTCGAGTACAAGATGTATTTGAATCATACATGAATCTAAGGTTTGGATAAAATTATATGAAGATATATTCACCTTTGTGGCTCATATGCATTCTTCATTTGCTTTTCTTGGTTGGCCTGTTCCTATTATTGTTAATTTTGGAATGCGACCTGTGCAACTTATTTAAGTCTAATAATGAAAAAATTATCCCGATTAAGTAACTATGTATGATTTTTCTCTCATATCAACGTCCAGGAATCTCAGACAGATGCAGTAATGGAGGAGTCACACGCTTCACTACTCTTCTAAGCAATTGGTCTGGTTCACAAGGATATTGCATGTACGTCATATCACTTCAATTATCGCGAGAGATTTAAGCCTATATCGATTCAAATATGGTTTCTTCTCATGTTTTTAACTTTCATTTCTCTGTTTGCATCTGTAGTGAAATTGGAAATGGGGCATGGGATTCATGGACAATGCCCTTTCCAAAACAGGTCCGTTTGCTTATTAGTCAAAATAGTTAATTTATTATGCATGTTTATGCTCAGTGTTAGCAATAATTTAACACGATTTTTCTGTTGAACTTTGTAGACGGCCATTGCTTGT